TCTCCACGGTTTATAGGAATCTTTTGTATTACAGTCCATCCCCAAAGCTTACAAAAGGAGTTTCAGCCTAAATTCACAGCATCTCCTCATTCTCCTTCTATCTGGGACCTGACTCCTGCTTCACTGACCTTGGTGTCTTCTCCCCGTTCTTTTTTCCCTCTCCCTCAAGGGAGGATTGAAGGTCTGCAAGTTTTATCTGAGCATTGAAAGAGTCAAGATCTCACAGGGGGAATGCAGAGGCTTCGGCCAGGCCATGCTGGAGCTGTGCCAGGATCTCAGGAGACTCAGGGTGCACTGGGAGGGGCTGGCCTGGGCCAGAAACAGCAGTGGCTGCTCTGGAAAGGGTGGAGGGGATGGCTAAGATCTCAATCAGCCTCGATGGAGCTCAGCTGGCACCCACGGCCTATGGCCAGCCCTCCTCCCTGCCAGGCCATGCCAGCTCCCCACACAGGGGCCCGGCCCGGGCCTGGCAAGCCCTGTTACCTGCATTCCTGCTGGAAGAGAAAAGGGACCTTCTTGGCATTTCCTTGCTTCAAAATGTGAATTCACAGAGGCAGACCAAATCCTCCGATTGGTTTCCCAGGCTGTCAACACCCAAACCAGCCTCTGACTGGTCCCATCAAGTCAGAGAGGAAGTTTTCTTCCATGGATGCTACCAAAGTGTCAGTTAATGCAAAACCAGCAGAGCCTCGTAGTCACTTCCTGTGGAAAAGGTCTGGGATTTTTGTGTTTGTTTTCTTTTTTAATAAAAAGTTTTCATTTAGTCCCCTGAGCTTTTCTCAAAATCCCATCAGTCATTGCAGCTGTTGGCCAGTGGGGTGGGACTGCAAAGCTGGCACTGCTGTATGCAGGACATGTTTGGGGTACGAGGGGCACTTGGAAAGAGGGCAGGGAGGAAGAAAAATATAAGGATACATGAGGAGCACCACATCAGGAGTGAGTAAAAGAAAATGCTGGGCCAGGAGGTGGAGGCTCTGCAGGGATGTATGAGGGTGTGACAATTGATAAAAGATTCGTTTTAACCACAAAAGCATTGGGGTTTGCATAAACCAGAATACTAAGCTCTGAAGTGAAGCATGGACACTAGATAAAGGAAATTATATGATTAAATAATTCTGTTTAAAATCACCTTGTTATGTTATATTATGTTGTATTATGTTACATTACGTTATATTATGTTATGTTTTTCAAATAAGTTGTATCAGCTACCAGCTTGCAAAATCAGACTTCCCAATAGCCCTTCCTGCCTTTGACTGATCAATACTGCCTATCCCAAGGACCGGACTCCCAGAACTTCTCTGGTGGTTATCTACAAGGACCAGATGGCTATCTGTGACTGATTATTGCCCAGAGGCTTTGTGAATTTGTGTAAGGATGTTTATTCGACCACCACTGCTTACCTGGCAAAATTATGACAGCAAAAAAAAACCCAAAAATTTTTGATTACAACGAGAAACCACAGTATAAGAAGAGGCTGCAAACCAAGGTTGGGTGGAGCGTGGAGTGGGCGGTGACCCCTCACGTTCCCCAGCGCTGCTTGCTCTTTCTATATCAAATAAAGCAATCTAAATTTTGCTGAATATCGAGACTTTTGTCTCTCATTTATAACAAAGGCTTGTTGGCCTTATCCTGCCAGGCTCTAAAAGAACTACCAGCTCCTATGCAGCCACTGCCTAGCCCCTGAATTATTATCTGTCAGACTCATCTTGAATTCAAAATATCACATATGAAATGCAAAACATTCCATTTAATTCTATGGGCTGTGGTTTGGCTTCCTGAATGACTGTATTTTTATTTCCTATATTATTTTTTATTTTAGGCACATTTCCCAGGGAACTTTTTTTTTTTTTTTTTTGTGGCAAGCAAAAGAGGCCCAAGCAATTCAATTCTGGATCAAAAGACATCAGCTTGGGCAGAGGACTCGTGACAAACTGCACAAGTGTAGTAAAAGCAAATTACGTCTGTCTGGATCTCTGCTTTTGGGGTCAGGTCCTGGATTTTATGCTGTCCTGCCTAACAATGAACCCAGACAAACTCTCCTCCTCCTTCTCTTCCAGAAAGAAGTGTGTGGAGCCCATGTCTGGGGCCCTGTTCCTCCCCAGAATTGTCCAGCCCAGTCACCATCATCTCCACATGTGCACAGCAGAGGCCACCAGATTCTTTCACAGAATCACAGGATATGATGAGTTGGAAGGGACCCACAAGGACCATCGAGTCCAACTCATAGCCCTGCACAGGGCACTGTCAAGAGTCACCCTATGTGCCTGAGAATGTTGTTCAAACTTTTGTCGAACTCTGTCAGGCTTGGTGCTGTGCCCACTGCTCTGGGGAGCCTGGTCCGGTACCCAACTACTGGATATTTTTCTAATATCCAACCTAAACTTCTTCTGACACAACTTCAACCGATTCTTTCTAGTCCTGTCCCCACAGAGCAGAGATCAGTGCCTTCCCCTCTTCTTCCTCCCACGAGGAAGTTGTAGACTGAAATGAGGTCTGACCTCAATCTCCTCCTCCTCAGGCTGAACAGACCAAATGACCTCAGATCCTCCTCATACAGCTTCCCCTCAAGGCCTTTCCCAATCCTTGTGGCCTCCTTTGAACACTATCCAATAGCTTAATGTCTCCTTTTAAATTTTGGTGCCCACAGCTGCATCCAGAACTCAGGGTGACGCCACCCCAGTGCTGAGCAGAATGGGACAATCCCCCTCCATTTCTCAGCTGGCGATGCTGGACCTGATGCCCCCCAAGACATGGTTGGCCTCCTGGCTGCCAGAGCATTGCTGACTCATATCTAACTTGCTATCAACCAGGACCACTAGATCCCCTTCCATGACACTGCTTTCCATGGTCTTGTTCCCCAGTCTGTCTATACATCCAGAGTTGCCCCATTCCAGGTGCAGAATCCAGCACTTGTCCTTGTTGAACTTCATATGGTTAGTCATTGCCCAGCTGTCTAATTTGTGGAGGTCTCTCTGCAGGTCTCTCCCTGCTTTTGAGGGAGTTGACAGCTCCTCCCAGTTTTGTATCATCCATGAACTTGCTTAGTTTCCCTACCAGTCCTGCATTCCAGTCATTTATCTAGATGATGAAGAGCACAGGCTGAGGATGAAGCACTTCAGAACCCCAGTAGTGACAGGTCACCGGTCTGATGTCACCCCAGTCACTGTCATGCTTTCTGATTGACCTGTGAGCCAGTTGCTCACCCATCACATGATGTGTTTATCCAGCTGTACGCCAGACATTTTGTCCGGAAAGATCCTCGGGGAGACAGTATCAAAAGCTTCACTGAAGTGAAAAAGATTATATCTACTGCCTTCCCTTGATTAAGCAGGATTACCTTGTCATAAAAGGAAATCAGATCTGACAAGAAGGACTTCCCTCTCTTGAAGTTGTGCTGGCTATGACTTTGAATGTTCTTGTCTCATGTGCGCTTGTGTGCAGCTGGGACTGTGTGAATATACATAGGTGCAAAAATTTGTGCATGATTCCTTTCTCATGTGCATAAGAGTGTGTGTGTGTGTGTCTGTGTGTGTGTGTGTGTGTGTCCTGCCTCACGATGGTTTGCTCTACTTACAGTAATGACATTTTCCACTGCTCTATCAATAAGCTCCACAGTGCTCCCAGAGACTGAAGGAAATTCAGTGTAGCTGAGCAGTAACAGAACAAACCTCAGGTTTTTTTAGGCAGAGAATTATCCTCACCACAGGCACTGAAATGCAGTCTTCTCTATCTTCAGTCCTCCTTTTCCTACTGCTTCAAAGCTCACACACTGCAGATGAATATTCCTGGAGCGAATTAGGATGATTTCATACAGTTTGGATCCTTAGTTTAATTCAATGTAAACAATATTAGGAATGCCTAAATATGGCTTGCAGTCCTCATTCCCTGCTTCTCCAGATCTAGGAACTTCAAAAGGATGAGGCTTGCTTTACGGACAGCAGAAATGCTAAGAAGTCCTGCCAGCTTCATCCAGGCTATGCTCAAATGAGTTTACGTGCACTACAATGTCAGTGCTGACTGGTGTGACACGTCTCTGCCTCGTGTTCAAGCCAATGCCAAATGTGCCAGTGCAGTCCATCAGCCTGGTGCTGTGCCAGACAGAGGCTGAGACCTCAGATTCAACATGGTCTCATCTAAAGGACCATGGCATAGGGAAAAGAAACTGCTCAATGGGTATTCATCCTCGCTTTTTAATGAGTCATGAAGGGGAGATGAAGATGGAGTAGAAATCATGGTTGAATATAAAGATTGTTCCCTGCATTCCAACTCCTGTTATTCTGCAGAGGAAATTATATCCAGGACCCTCACACCAAGGACTCCAGTGCAGCTCTGACCATACTGACAGGAACACCATTGCTCAGGAGGTCATGGGGCTGCTATTGCTTCAAACTCTCCCAACTTTTCTGGGCATTTGTGGGCAAAGACACAAGGCAAGGCTTGATGGTGTCTGGAAGCAGAGCAGCCAGGGGATGTCCTCCTCAGCTCCAAGAGATTGTATTTTAATAGTTTCCCCTTCATGGTGCCTCAAAATTCCATTCCTCTGTGAATGGAGTCTCCTGATGCCCTCACCCACTTCCATGACTAAGTAAGACCTTTCTCCTTTAGCATTCAGAAGAGCAACTGGGGGAAGAATCACACAGACACCAGACTTGAATGCAGCAGAACTTTAATGAAATGAAAGAAGGAAACAAAGCCACTGAAAGCGAAGGTCAGCAGCAGAGGCACCAGTAAGGGCAGCAGAGAGTCTGCGCTCCTTGGCTCTGGAAAAGTTCCTGCATAATATTGGTCTACTTGTCCCACAGAGAGGAGAAACCTAATGGTCCATACCAAGCTGGCCTTTGGGGAGCATCGCAGCACAGAGGAACCAATGCAAACAATGACACGGGAGAGAAAGGCAAGTTCGGTCAGCTATCCTGCAAACAGCACACAAAACCTAGATCTTCTGCCCAACACCAGGTTCTGAGTTCCTCAAGATGTCTGTTGGAGCTTTCCCAGCATCTTTAGCATGGACGGCATCTGTTGCCACCGTAGCGCCTGGTGATGCAGGAGAGGTCAAAGCCCCCGGAGTTGATGGGAACTCCGTCACTGCTGAGGATGCTGCCAACAGCAGCAGAGGTGGAGGATCCCACCACGGTGTTCTGTGGGAAGGAGCTGAGGATGGGGCCGGGCAGGGTCACCACCACAGCAGGTGGCTCAATGACGACGGTGGAGCTCTGGCACTGCCTGACACAGCACTCATTGCAGCTGTTGGCCAATGGGGTGGGGCCACAGGGCTGGCAGGGACGGCACTGGGTGTTGCAGGACATGGCTTGAGGCTGCAGGTGCACCTGGCAGAGAGAGAAGAGAGGAAACAGAGCACAAGGCTGGGTGGGTGGGTGGGTGGGTGAGGAGCAGCCTGGTTACCCCATCTCTAAAGAGCCAAGGCCATCATAAGTAGGAAGCTGGAGACTGAGCCAGGAGCCCTACAAAGAGCAGCAGGAAGTTCTCTCCCAGGGCATAAAGCAAAAGGCACCACCATCACCTGCCTTTCTCTATGCCAGCCTCCTCCCCGCTTTCTTCTTTCATGACCAGATGCTCCAATCCCCAAATACAAGAAAGCCAACATCAGTTGAGATGTCCACCAAGGGGAGATCTCACTTTGGAAGAGAAAGAGAAGGGGCTTCAGACTCACCTGGTTCCCAAGTTGAAGGAAGCAAGAGAAGTGGATGAGAGAGCAGAGACTTGGGCTGCCTTTTATACCTGCCCTTCACTGCCGCAGGACCAGGGGCAGCCTTTGCAGAGGTAACAATTTCCCAGCAAGCTCATCTTGAATGCAAACCAGCACACCTAATGATATGGGCTGTGCTTTCATTTCCTGCACTGCTGCCTTTTCATTTCCAGGTTTGTTCCATGCCCGTTCCCCAATGAAGGCTTCTTCTGATCCCTGGGATTAAAGGCCCCAGGATTTCTAAGGCAGGAATGCAGCAGTGCAGGCAGAAGGCTCAGTTTATGTACTGCAAGGGCCCAGACCAGGCAAGTGATGCTATCCTGATCGCTCTTCTGGGGTTGTTTGAAGTGTTGTTTTCAGGAAGAAGCTGCAGCACTCATAGAAACTTAGAATCTTATAATCACAGAATGGCTTGGTCTGGATGGAACTCCTTCATAAAGAGAAGCACTGTCACTCACTAGATGAGGTTGTTCCAAGCCCCATCCAAGCTGGCCTTGAACACTTCCAGGGATGCCACAGCCACAGCTTCTGTGACAAGTTCCATTGCCTTACCACCCTTTGAGTAAGGAATTTGTTCCTAACATCTAATCTACATCTTTCCTCTTCTATTTTAAACCATTCCACTTTGTCCTATCAGTGTCTGCCTGTGTGAAAAGTCAGCATCCATCTTTTTGTAGGTCCCCTTCACACACTGACAAGCCTCAATGAGGTCTCCTCAAAACCTTCTCTTCTCCATGCAGAACAACCCCATCTCTCAGCCTGTCTTCATAGGAGAGTTGCTCCAGCCCTCTGAGCATCTTTGTGTCCTCCTATGAGCCTGCTCTAACAGGTGCATGTGTTTTTTGTGCTGAAGACTCCATGTCTGAACCCAGGTGGGGGTCTCAGAAAATCAGAGTAGATGAGGAGAATCACCCTCAACCTGCCAGTCATGCCTTTTGTGATGGACCCCAGGATGCAGTTGGCTTTCTGAAAATGCAAACTATTGGCTCATGTCTAGGTTTTCATTCACCAGCACTCCCAAGTCTTTCTTCATAGGTCTGCTCTCAATAAGTCCATCTCCCAGTCTGTACTCATGTCTGGGATTTCCTGATGCAGGTGCTGCACCCTGCACTTGAACTTCTTAAACTTCATCAGGTTCTCATGGGCCCACTCCTCAAGTTTCTCCAGGTCTCCCTGGATGGAAATCTTCTTCTGTAGTGTCAGCTGCACTGCTCAGCTTTGTGTCATCTGCAAACATGCCAAGGGAACACTCAATCTAATATCCCTGTGATTGAAAAAGATACTAAAAAGCACCAGTCCCAAGACAGAGCCTTAAGACATGCCCCTCTTCTCCTACCTCCATGTGGTCATAGAGCCACAGACCAAAACTATGTCCATCCAGACATTTTCATATTCATAATAGTACACCGTTCAAATCCATGTGTATTGGGTTTGCATGGCCTGGTTTTGGTAGTGGGAGGGCTACAGGGGTGGCTTCTGTGAGAAGTTGCTGGAATCTTCCTTGGTGTCCAGCAGAGCCAAAGGCAGCTGGCTCCAAGACAGACCCACGGCTGGCCAAGGTGAGCCCATCACAGATGGAAGTGATGCCTCAGCAGTAACATGTTAAAGAAGGAAAAAAGTTATTGCACAGGTGTAGTTGTGACCAGAGAAGAGCAGAGTGAGAATATGTGAAAGAAACTGCTCTGCAGACACTGAAGTCAGTGAAGAAGGAGGAGCAGGAGTTGCTCCAGGCTCCAGAGCTGATTCCTCTGCAGCTCATGGTGAAGAGCATGGTAAGGCAGCTGTGCCCCTGCAGCCCACAGAGGGCATGGGGGTGCAGAGATGCACCTGCAGCCCCTGGAGGAGCTGACACCAAAGCAGGTGGATGCCTGAGAAGAGGCCATGACCCTGAGGGAAGTGCTGAAGCAGAGTCCTGACAGGGACCTGTGGAGAGTGGAGCCCATGCTGGAGCAGGTTTTCTGGAATGATTTGTGACCCTGTGAGGATTCCTGAAGGACTGACCCTGTGGAAGGGTGACCCACATTGTAGCAGTTCATGGGGAACCATGGTCTCTGGGAAGGACTAATTTTGGAGTTTTCATTGAGAACTTCTCCCATGGGAGGGACCCCATCCTGGAGCAGGGGAAGGACTCCCCCTCCTCTCCCTGAGCAGCAGCAGGAACAACCTGTGATGAATTGACCATGAGCCCCATTGCTGTCTCCCTGCTCTGCTGGGGGGAGGAGGAGGTAAAGCTGGGAAGGAGAGCCAGGTAGGGGGAAGATGTTTGGGTTTTTGGTGTTTTTTATAAGACTTATTTTACTTCTCATTATCCTCCTCTGATTGTGTTGATAATAAATTCAATTAATATGCCTTAGTTGAGTCTGTTTTGCCTGTGACAGTATTTGGTGAAGGATCTCTTTCGGTCCTTAACTCATGAACCATTGTTATATTTTCTCTCCCCTGTGCACTTGCAGAGGAGAGTGATGGAGTGGCTTTGGTGGCTGTCTGGCATCCAGCCAGGGTCAACCCTTACACCATCTCTCCAATTTGGAGAGAAGGGTGTTGTGTGGACTATGCTGAAGGCCTAACAGAAGTTTAGTTAGATGACACGGGCCAGTCTTCCCTTGCTGGCTGTTTCAGTCATTCCATCATTGAAGGCCATCAGATTGCTCAGACATTACTTGCCCCAGGAGAAGCCTTGCTGGCTGTTTTGGATCACCTCCTTGCCCTGAATATGACTCACAGCTGCTTTCATGAGGATCTGCTCCATGATCTCCCCAGGCACAGAGGTGAGGTTTACCAGTCTGTGATTCTCTGTGTCTTTCATATTGTCTCTTTAAAAATCCAGTCTGCTGCTGGATGCCCAAGGACTTCTGTGTATGAGGATGGGCCATGTGCTTTCCTATCCCTCCCTCCTCAGCTCACCCTGATGGTTATTTGTTGTTGTCTCCCCATGTGTGTGCATTGGGCTGCAGGGTCTGACCTCTTCGTACCTAATTCTGCCCTCAGGAAAAACTTCTGGCTTGTTTTGACTTGTTCACTCTCTGTGAGTGTGTCTGTGAGTACATAAACAATGCCATGAGCTTGCCTGGGGCCTTGCCCTTCCCCACAGGGCTCCAGCCCTGCTGTGGCTGTCTCCTGGTGTCCTCAGCAGAGTTCACAGTAGAGTGTGCTCTTACATGTGTTCATGTCTTTGGTGCTCTTGTGTACAACCAGACTTATGTGAATGTAGCACAGGTGCATATTTGACAGGTGCATATTTGACAGGTGCATATGAGCACATGTCCTTTTGTGTCTCTCCTCACAAATAGACTGTGTTGCTCATGGCAGGGATGCTTTCCAGGCTCTGTTCACGAGCTCTGCAAAGAAGCAGGAGCTCAAGTGCAGCTGAAAGGTGATGGCATCAGCCTCCAAGAAATGTCTCCAAAAAGAGGCACTGTAATCAACCTGCTTCCTGAACCCTCCTTCTCCTGATCCTCCAATGTTCATACTCCACTGATGGTGATGCCAAGCCCCAACAAGGACTCCCAATTTAGATCCTTAATTTAGTTCAGTGTAACATGATTGGAACTGCCTCAGGATGATGGGCAGTCCCCCTCTGCCTGCCTCACCAGGTCAGGACACAGCTGCTAGAGAGTTCAAAAGGATGGGGTTTGCTTTATCCTGGAGAAAGAATAAGGAATCCCACTTACTCTCCTTGTTCAGACCATGTCTAAATGGATCTGCTTCCAATGAATTGTTGGTGCTTCCAGGTGTGAGACACAGCCTTCTTTCATGCCAAACTCAATGTCAAATGTATTCGTCCAGCTCATTGACTTGGTGCTGTGCCAGGCTGAGGTCTTGGCTCAAACATATACTGAATTAAAGAATCACAGTACACGTCATTGGTGTGCACTGGACTAGAAGGACAGAGACATTGTGTCTCTCACAGGAAAAGCCAATAAATGCATTATTGGGCAGATGGGCACCAGTGAGGGATGCCCCAGCAGTTGCTCTGTGATGCAGATATCACAGTGTCCCCAGGTAGGAGTGGTGCTTGTGCCTGTGGAGCAGAGAGTGCAGGACTCCAAGGTGCCAGGCAGAGCAAGGAGCTGGATTGCCCCTGTATTAGCAATTTACCTAGTGACAGCAGTGCAGGTCTTGTGGGTGAAAAGTTGAGGCTGGGCATCACTAGAATATGTCCATTGGCCAAAGAGATGGAGGACTTCAGAGACTCTTCCCTAAATCTCCAGCAGGAAGAATGTGCAGGGAACTTTCCCTGTTGGTCTCTTCATGCTTCAGCTCCTGCTTTGAGCTTAGCTTTGCCTTCATCAGCTCCTTCCCTACATTCAGGGAACTGTAGACATCTGAGATGTCCCAACCTTTTAATCACTCACTTAAACTGAGGGTGGAAGTTGAAAAAGAAATTTTGGAGTATCGCAGAAAAAGCACCCCTTAATGTCTGCATTAATAGTGAAGCCAAATGTTCTTCAAAGAAACTCAGAGATTAATGCCATGACTGTGTTGCAGAAAGGAAGAAGAATGATGTACACTAGTAGGCCCAACTTTCTCTGGCATACTCTGTGCCATGCTGTCATCAGCTGTGTTACCCACCATCTACAAACAGTGAAGGGATGGCTAAAAAGCAGGAATTTCCAACAGGTATGCACAGGGTACAGACATTCATTAG